CTTGTTGAGTATGTCAAGACAATTCCATGGGGTCCTTGAGTCCATATGTGAGTTTGGTTTGCCATTGGCTAGGTCAAACAGTCAAAAATTGCCTTTGTGCAGTCAAAACCTTAAAAATGACCATTTTGCCTTTTTGGTGATCAAATTTCTTGTGGAATTGTGATCCAAACTTGATCAAATGGTCCATGTGAGTTCATAATGTTGATGTAGGTCAATTTTCATGAGATTTGACTGTCAATTGGACACAGTTGACTTTTTCCCCAATACAGTTGATTTCTAGGTCAATTGTCCAATTGACTGGGCAAAATTTGGAATCAAGACTTAAAACTTGGTATGGATAAACTTGGGAGTCCAACATGAAGCATGAAAGTCATCTTAGGCATTTTAGGTCAAAATATCTTTGTGCAAACACAAACCCTAATTTGGGTCAACAGTGTAAGGAGAAGTCTTGAGCAGAGGAAACCCTAACTGGACCTTGAGCTCCAAGGGTCTTGTGATGAGAAAATGTTGAGAAAATGGGAGGGAAAATTTTGGGGTACAACAGTGAGGATTTATCTTAATAGTTCCCCACTTTCGTCCTCGCGTGTGGGTTCGTCTGCGCCTAATTCCAATGGAATTAGGATAATTCTTACTATGCAAAAAGGTTGGTACGAAAGAAGTGTTCAAGAGAAACTCCACAAACCCAATGCTTGTTGTTGATTCAACCTCTTATCCTCTTTTTATCTTGAGAAAGATCAAGATACAATAGATGCAAATTGACTATCTAGATCTTGCTACTCCTTTGTGTACTTTATCTCCAAAGCTTTTGTGCACTGTCAATTTCAACTATTGCAACACAGGACCTCAATTGTAATTCGCCGTTCTCTCGCTAATTCTCTTGTGTTCTTTATCTCCAAAGGATCCCTTGTGTTATTTATTTCCAAAGGACTTCACTTAGTCGCAATTACCTCTTGATTGTCTTGCAGGAAACCCCAAAATCAATCAATGATCTTGGAGGACAAACCCACGATTTTTCTGGATGAAGACCCCTACAAATCTCAATCCAATATCTTTGGCTACACAAGAACCTAATCGGGCATTATCAAATGTCGTCTAGATGGTACCCAACAAAAGATCGTTACAATGGAACGTTAGTGTGTATGCATATATTGGAGGTTGAAGGTGAAGAGCAAATGTAGGATAGTTTTATGATATCATCAAGTTATGAATGATGCATGAATGGTGTATTTATAGTTTTGGAAATTTAGGGCAAAAAGGACTTATTCGAAATTAAAAGGATTTACAAAATTGACAAAAACAATCAGTATGTGTCGACCTATATATCATATGTGTCGACACATACATTAAGTTTAAGCTGTATGTGTCGACCTAAAAGAAGGTAAATTTTCGCCTGAAACAAGCAGAGGCTACACACTTTAAAACAACATGAAATGTGCCGACCTATAAATCATATGTGTCGACACATAAAATAAGAATTTCTGCAATTTCAAAAATGCTCAGTATGTGTCGACCTATGAAATGAATGTGCCGACTTGAGTCTTCCAGAGGCTATAAGCTTTAAAACTGAGTTGCATGTGTTGACCTGAAAAACGGATGTGTCGATGCATGCAATAAAAATTTATGCGTAAACTTGTTTTTAATTACTTGGATCAATTTCAAAATGCTTTTTTAATGATTCCTAAGACCTCTAATACAGAGGAGTGCCACAAGACATAAATATATCATCCAATGTACATAAGTGTTAGCTTTTTCCAGTTTTGACATCATGCAAAACATCTAATGACGAAGTTGTACTCACATAATTTCTGTCGAGCTACCAACGTTAAACAAAGCGTTGCGTAGGAGGCAACCCACAAATTTGAATTTTCATAAACGATTAATTTTAATTTCAATTAATAAATAGCTAACTTGTGTGTTTTTTCAGGGCCACTGCATTTCACTTAGCTAGACTTTATCCACTAATATTTTCCTAGTGAATCGAAAGCAAACTTGAAGCAACCAACGCTCAATCGAAGCTTTGTGAATTAAACTTGATCGAAGGAGGCTGAGTGCTCAATCGAAGCTTGTGAACCAAGCTTGCATTGAAGGAGGTCAAATGCTTAATCGAAGCTTGTGAACCAAGCTTTCATCGAAGGAGGCCAAATGCCCAATCGAAGCTTGTGAAACAAAGCTTACTCGAAGGATTTTAGATGCCCAATCGAAGCTTATGAATCAAGGCAAACTTGCTCTTCTTCGATTTGATGCCTGAAAGCCAAAAATCCAATTGTACTTGTGCAAACTTGCCCTTTTGAAAATCCTTGTGAGAAAATGTCTTGAGAAAAAGGAGGGAAATTTGTGGGGTACAACAGGGATCCATCAGCATGGCTTATTGGTAGCGTTTAACCGATATTTTTGAGGACAACCAAAACTCACGTGTCATTGCTCTTGAGCAGGATTTCTCATCCACCTGCATGGAGGATTTTTGTAATGTCTCTGCCTATTGCCAACGTCTTAGGCAACTTTCTAATCAGTTGAAGAACTTTGGAGAACATGTTAGCAACCACCATAAATTCCTCACACAGTCGGTCTCAATATCTCTCAATATCTTACAGTTTTTTAAATTCCATCATAAGTTGTTTGACCTAAATTTTTAAGAAAAACTCCATTAATATTGTGTTTTATCTAATGAAAAAGAGGAGGACATCAGATGATATCTTTCATAACTAGTGAAGCAGAATGATGAACTATAACCTTAAAAGTTTTTAACAATTGAAAGTCTCTCATGAAGAAATTGGTGACTAAGTTGGAAAATATTATAAATATGGAGACATTAGAGATGATGAAACAATTAAAAAAATTTCAATAAATTGTTCTATTATAAAATATCTTATAATTTCTACAGTACTAAATGTTTTTGAAAGTGTTTAGAGTAGATAAGAGCATAAATCATCTTCCTTTGAGGGGAGCGAGAATTCTTTGCAAGTTTTGCTCCGATATGAAACTTGGGTTCACAACCGTGACATATCTTCATGTAATCGCTTGATGAAGGTGTTGATCATAATATCGTAATATAAATTCAAGTATGATTGGTGATTATGTCTGAAATCAGGGGTGATATTTGCAAACACATTAGCTATTAGAGGTGGGACACAATTTTAGGGTTAGAAAGATGTACCTGAATCTGAAGCCTTCATGTGGCTTTTATACTAAGGTCTAAGGGTTTTCAAAAACATACAATGTTATGATTCCTATAACGATTATGGGATATGTCACACTCTTCTCACATAAATGGCCTATAATGATCTTACTAGGTCTTATTAGGCTGCCATGTTTTTTTAGGTTGGGCACCGTTTCTGCGCCGACTTTCCTTATGTAAGTACACTTTTTGGGTCGTTCTGCCTTCTAGGATGGGCACACTTTCTTAGTCGACATGCCTTCTAGACGAGGTGCATACCTACCTTTTATATTGTACACACTTTCTGGGTCGATATGCCTTATGGATTGAGCACACTTTTTAGGTCGATATGTCTTTTGGACTGGCACACTTTTTGGGCCAGCCAGCCTTCTAGACCAGGCGTAGACTTGCCTTCTAAGTTAGACACATTTTTTAGGCTGACTTGTCTTATGTACTAGCACACTTTGTAGACTGGCGTGTCTTATAGAACAAGCATAGACTTGACTGTGGATAATTTTTAGGCCGACCTACTTTCTAGACCAGGCACACTTTCTAGCCGACTTGCCTACTAGATCGGGCATTAACCTAACTTTTGGGTTGGACACGATTTATAGGTTGATATAGGTAGTGCTAGGCTTTATAATCTTGTCGTTATTGTGTTTGAATCACTCAAATATCTTGTAGAGATTTATAATATAAACATCTTATTTTTAGGGTTTTTATGTAGGAATAATTTTTTATCTAGAGATTTTTAAAGAGTATTAAAGGAATGAAAGAAATAGTTGTGTTTTTATTTATTTTATTTTTTTATATAGTAGTGTAGTAGCTGAAATTTATTCTTTAAAGGCGAACAAGTATAATATTGTGGGTTTGAACTTGCAGCATTGTATATGATGTTTATGCACAACTACCAACTTAATTGACTTAACAGGAGAAATACTTATATTTTTATTTTCTTTTACGGTTTCACCACCAGTATCCGACCCACTAGACCACTTAATCTGGTTCGGGGATCAATTCTAGCATCAAGTAATTTCAACCATCTTATGATCGCAATTCCAGAAATCGAATCGTGATCATTCCCATCAAGTACAACATCAATCACCTTTATTTATGGGAATTTCTTATTTCACCCTATGCTCAAAAGAAAGACCATTTGCAATTCTGAAATTATCCTCGAAAAATCAGAAATGCATTTCTGATTTGCACCATATAATTTACAAAAACATGCCAAATATGGTTTTACCCTTCAAAATATAAAAACAAAAATCAGAGATATACTTCCGGTTATGTACTGGTTGTAATATTGGTGTTATTCAATGATGTTTTTCTGATTTTTGTGTAGCACAAAATTGAAATTACTTCTTCATATTAAAACCGAAAATTAAATTCCAATTTCAATATATAGTTTATTAAATTTTAGTACGCACCAAAAATATACATCAGATTTTAAAAAATATTTAAAAAATTTCGCATAATGTATAAGAAAATCATGAAGTAGAAAAAGATATCCCTTATTTATTATCAACTTTTTATGAGGAAATCTTTGATAACTAAACTTTTTTAAATAGCTGCACAATATTAATTAAATTTGTATGTTTAATTAATTTTTTTAAAAAGCGCACGTTAGTTACGATAGTATATAACAAATGACGATGATGAGACTCATCCGAAAATTTTAAAACCGTCGGATCTAAAATCAACGGCAACAATCGATCTACATGACGTGTCTTTGAAAAACACACGAACTAACAAAAGCCAGAAGAAGAAGAAACGCCGGCGTATATAGAACTTGCTTCTACCTTCGATTTTCATAAACAAATAAATAAATTATTAATTAAAATAAATGAACCGAACACTCTTACTCGCTCTCATACTCTTCACGGCGGCCACCATCGCCGCAACAGACAACAACCTCACCTCCCGTCAGCCGTCATGGTCAACCGCCGTGGAGGAGTCCGATCTACTCCCATCGGACGCCTCTGTTCCCGACTCCGACGGCGGTTTCTCTTCAATGGACAGCATGTTGCACTGGGCAATAAGTATGCATAATTTGAATATTCAATTCATTGCCATAAAAATTATTTTATTAATTTTTTTTTTTTGTGTGTGTGTGTGTGTTTTTTTTTTAGGTCATTCTGATCCAGAAAAGTTAAAGGAATCAGCACAGGTTCATGAAGGATTATCACCTAGCGAACTTCAAAAGCGTCAAATGGAAATTAAAGTAATTCGAGTTTTCTTTGTGATTATGGTGTGTGATTTTGTTTTTGTTGTTTACTTATGGTGTTTGCATTGTTTGTGGCGTTGAACAGGAGTTAATGGAGGGAACAAAAATGTTATCTGATGCTGAATTGATGAAAATTGCTATAAGTGATTTAAATAATGTGTCTATATCTTCGGTAGATCGATACCGAGCCTTGCTCGAGCTTCTCGAGCTTGTTGAACCATTGGATAATGCAAATGGTAGATATCTATCTATAATTGTTTATTTGTTTCTTACTTGTTTTCAACATAGGTCTTTTCTGAATTTGGTGATGGTTATTAGTTTATAATTTTTATGTGATTTTGTTTCCATATGCTAGAAGTTTTCTTTTCCTGTAGAATTGTGTATCCCTAATAAGAGATTGTAATGTGTGTGTCAGATTTAAACAAACTTGGTGGCCTTTATGCTCTCAAGCAAGAACTTGATAACTCGGATCCGGGTATTAGGGCTCTTGCTGCATGGGTTCTTGGAAAAGCTAGTCAAAATAATCCAACTGTTCAGCAGCAGGTATGTTGTTGCATTGATGATTAATAGAATTTTAGCAAGTTGTTGTTAACTGAATCAAAACAAACTCTTAGTTGAAGTGCATATCAATCCTTGGAAAATACTTTTACCGGAATGATGTAAACTCTGTAGCACCGACACTGACACTTTTTGATTGTGTTTAATTTATTCATTTTTTTTCAAATTATTATCAATGTCGACATGTGTTAGTGTCGGTGTCCGTGTCTGAGTTTCATAGGATATAAATCTTAGTATGCGGTTGTTTTGTAACAATATAGTAATGCTACAAAATTTTGACTATTCTAGGTCTTGGAACATGGTGTACTCTCAAAGTTAATAGTTATGGTAAAATCCGATTCCATTGAAGAAGGCATTAAAGCATTATATGCTGTTTCAGCTTTGATTCGGAATAATTTAGCTAGTCAGGAATTGTTCTATGCTGAAGCTGGTGGTTTGATGCTTCAGGTGACCGGTCTATGTTTTATTATTATAACATTGTTGCCATGTTTTTTTAATTTATTTTTCTTATGGTAAATGGTAATTGACATGACATTGAAAACTTTTTAGGATATTTTGAGGAATGCAAGTATTGATATCAAACTACGGAGGAAGGCTGTGCTTCTATTGACTGATTTAGCAGATTATCAATTAGAAAACATTGACAAGGATGAACCATCATTTTCAACGACCGAGATCTGTTGAAGTCTGTGGTTGATTTAACTGCCTCAACCGACCTCGATCTCCAGGAAAAGGTGATTTTGCTGACATTACATCTAATGTTATTTTTAAAGCATTGTAGAAGACTTGTTTTACTGTCTTATTTACGACTTTCTGTCCGATGCAAATTTCATATTTTTATATTTTGATCTATGTTCTCTCAAATTTCAATGTGCGTATGAATTGGTGAATCTGTTGGAAATGGTAAATGCACTTGTGCACAAACAATTCGGCCCCTTTTGCAGTTCATGTTTATCATTTAGTTTGACATTTTGCATATTTTAAACAGGCACTTGTCGCAATTAAGAGTCTCTTGCAACTAAAGGCCACTGAAGCTCGAGTTTTCAGGGACTTCTGTGGGTTAAGTGATGCACTGAATAGAATGAAACAATTGTTGAGTGATTTGATGACGGATGAGGATCAGAGCGACTATGTAATGGATGTCGTAAATGTTCTTATTGAAGTGGAAAATATTTTCCATAGAAAGCTGATAAAGTAGTTATGTCTGCTCATGAGTTGACATCCTTAGATTATGAGGTTAACCCTGTATCATTATCTAGAGTTTATAGGATACTTTTCTCACAATTTTGATGTTATTGACATTTGTTAACGAAAACTATGGGTATTGATACTAATTAACTTTCTAGTTGTACAGTTAATAACTTAATACTGTCTATTGTTCTAGCAGTTGGTGTTTTCTGATTTAAATCATATTTATTTTTGGTACAGAGATTTAATGTTTTTATTAAGGGTTTAAATATGTTTGATCTTATAAAATGATATTATTATTTGAGTCTACCTAAACCTAGTCTTGCCAAAACAGCGA